AGGTTTTGTTATATTTAATATTTGTCAAGAACTAATTAGAATAATTTAATTAAACATTTTATATTCTTTATTAAAATAGTGCTGCATGTGGTTTACAATACAATCTTAATGATAATAATAATTATGTTTTGTAGTTACATGCATTAGATTAATACATAATGTCACTGATAATATATACAGTGTTCCCATAACATCCCCCTTTTTAAACATAGGTAACATTCTTAAATTTTTATATTAACATTTTTTTTTTTTTTTTTTTTTAATAGTAAACAATCTTAATTTCTTATACTTATTAACATTTTTTTTTTTTTTTTTTTAATATAATAAACAATCTTAAATTCTTATACTTATAACATTTTTTTTTTTTTTTTAATAATAATAAACAATCTAAATTCTTATACTTATTAACATTTTTTTTTTTTTTTTTTTTTTTAATAGTAAACAATCTTAAATTCTTATATTATATTATATGTATTCCTCTAAATGCTTAGGTTTTTTTATTACCCTTCCACTCTTAGTTTGTGTTCCTTTAACTATTTCCTTTTTACTTTTGTTTTGATTTCCTTTAATTAATTCCTTTTCACTTTTGTTTTGGTTTTCTTTAACTAATTCCTTTTCACTTTCACTACTATCACCATAATCATATCCAGGATCCCATATTAGGTGTTTTCTGTTTCTTTCAACTGTCTGTCCATTACTTAGTTTAATGACAAATGAATTTGGTCTTTTACATACCGAAATCACTTTTCCATGTATGTATGGTTTCCTATTATCCATATTAACAAAAACATGATAACCTTCCTTTATTGGTATTAGTTTTTTAGCATTTTTATCATATTGTTTTTTATCAATTTTTTGTTTGCTAGTTATTGCCTTTTTAACTGAGTTATAGTTAATTTTTCTTGTCCAAATCTTAGGAACAATCCCTCTCACATTCCTATTGAACATTATTTCATTTGGTGTGTAATTTTCATTTAGAATGGGTGTATTTTTCAATTCTAACATCGCTAAATAAATATCTTTTTTGTCTGCTACAACTTTTTTAAATATGTTTTTAACTGTTTGAATATTTCTTTCTGCCATACCATTACTTTGTGGGTACCTAGGACTTGAAGTTTTGTGTTCAAAATCCCATTCCTTAGAAAAATTTTTAAAATTACTATTAGAAAATTGTGGTCCATTATCAGAAAATAAAACTAATGGTATTCCATACCTTGAAAATATCAATTTTAACTTATTAATTGTTGTTTCACTGCTCATATCCTCAAGTATTTCTATATCCACATATTTACTAAAGTAATCAATAATTAACAAATATTGCCTGTTCTGATATTGAAAAATGTCAGTACCTACTATTTCCCACGGGTTATCTCCAAAATCTCTAACTGTCATTGGTTCCTTACTATTATTTTTTCTAAAACTCTGACATATTGAACATTTATTTATTTTATCTGTTATTTCTTTAGTCATTTCTGGCCAGAATAAACATTCTCTCGCTTTACTTTTGCATTTTTCTATGCTCATATGTGTATAATGTATTTTATCTAACATCTCTTTTCTTAGAGTTTTTGGCACCATTAGGCACTGTCCTTTAAACAATAAACCATCTTTTTCAAATAGTTCTTCTGAGAACGTCAAATATTTTTTTATTTGATCAGGTATATTATTTATAGAAGGCCATCCATGTTTAACAAATTCTAATAACATTTGAAATTCTGTATCCTTCTTAAACTCTTCTTTGAACTGCCTCAATTTGTTTTCAGATATGTTTAATTTTTTTATAATCATATTCACCTGTAATTCTATTTCTGATTCGCATAAATCTATATTGTCTTTTATGTGAGCACGACTCAGTGTATCTGCTATTTTTAAAAATTTACCTGGCTTGTATATTATATTTAAATCATACGCCATTAATTTAATTCTCATTCTCTGTAATCTCGCAGGGGTTTTATCTAGTGGTTTTTTAAAAATTGTTTCTAGTGGTTTATGATCTGATTCTATATTTATATTTTTACCATATATGTATTGTTTAAACCTTTCACAACCATATAAAATAGCTAACAATTCTTTTTCAATTTGTGCATACTGTTTTTGTGTATCATTTAAAGTTTTGGAAGCATATGCTACAGGATAATCATTTTGTAATAATACTGCTCCCAATCCATCTTTTGATGCATCCACCGATAGAGTACATTTTTTATTTAAATCAAAATATTGTAATAAAGGCTCAGAAGTTAAAGCACATTTTAATACATTAAATGCTTTTATTTGCGTTTCACCCCAATACCAATTACAGTCTTTTTTTAATAATTCTCTTAAGGGTACTGCTAGCTGAGACATGTTAGGAACAAATTTTTGTACATAAGTCATCATACCTAAGAATCTTTCTAAATCTTTTTTATTTTTGGGTTCTACCATATTTTCAATAGCTTTTATTTTACTTTTATCAATTTGAATACCCTTTACTGAAAATATATGTCCTAAAAATTTCACCTCATTAACAGCAATTTGACTCTTTTCTCTATTAAATTTAATCCCAACACTTAATGCTTTATCTAATACTTTTCTTAAAATATCATCATGTTCTTCTTTAGATTTAGCTATAATAATTAAATCATCTATATAGACAAATACATTTTTTATATCTGCAAAAACTACTAAATGTTTTATGAAATACTTCTGGGGCTATTTTAATTCCAAAAGGAAGTCTTTTAAACCTATACCGACCAAATGGAGTTATAAATGTTGTCAATTTTGAACTCTTCAGTGTTAATGGAAGTTGCCAAAATCCTTTACTAGCATCTAATACTGTAAATAACTTAGCTCCACTAAATTTAGAAGAAATTTCTTCAAATGTTGGTAAATTAAAATGTTCTCTCAATAGTACCTTATTTAAGTGAAATGGGTCTAAGCAAATTCTTATCCCCATTTTATTTTTATTTTTAACAACTACTATTGGATTCACCCATTCTGTTGGTTCTTCCTCTTTAATAATTATATCATTATTTACCATTGATTCTAACTCCCTTTTTAATTCATCTATAACCGTAAATGGTACTCTACTTGTATACGTAATATTCCCTACAGCTCCAGGTTGTATTTTAAAATCATACTCTTCTACTTTCATGAGTCCTATCCCCTCACTTATTGATTTGTATTTTGGATCATCCATTATGTTTGCATTTACTTCATATAGTTTTTTAACCAAATTTAATTTTATCATTGTTTCAAACCCAATAATTGGTTGACTTTGCTCATCTACTACTATAAAATCTATGTATTCAACCATACCATTCTCAAAATGACATTTTAGTTTACTCTTTCCTAACACTTTTATGTAACTTCCGTTGTAATTGCTCAAATTTATTTTAATTTTTTCTATCATTGTTTTATTCAAACTTCATATAAACATGATTTGGTAACACATTCACCTGAGCACCACTATCTATTTTAAAATGTATCTCTTGATTTTCAATCATACAGTTTATAAACCAACCTCTATCTAATATCGATTCTACATTTATGTTGCCTAAAAATAATACTTCATCTTCCTTCATTTCATACACTTTTTTACTGTTCTTTATACTATTATTTTTATTATTTCTCACGTATCTGTTTTTTACATAAGCTGGATTACCGTTATTTATTTTTTTAAAACACATGTTGCTAAAATGATTATTACCTTTGCATGTGTGACACTGTTTTCCATATGCCGGACATTCTTTAAAGTTATGTATTTTTCCACACTTTCCACATATGCTCTGCTTTTGTTCTTTTTTGTTCGTTTTCTGGTGTTGAAAAACTGCTTGAACCTCTGTTGCTTGTCCGTTGTTGATTGCTGCTGCTTGCTCCATTGTTTGCTCCGCTGATTTAGCAATTTCACATGCTTTACTCAGTATTAAATTTGGAGTTCTTAATAGTCGATCTTGTACAATTTTACATTTTACTCCTGCGACAATACGATCTCTGATTAACCTATCACGTAATAAACCAAAATTGCAATTGTTGCTTAATTGTCGCAGATCTGTTTCAAATTTTTCAAATGTTTCGTCTGCACCTTGAACTCGACTGTTGAATTTGAAAGTCTCTACACTTTCATTTAGCGCTGGCACATAGTATTCATCAAATTTTTTAATTAAGGTATCATATGTCCTGTCCTTTTCCGTAAATTCAAAAGTTTCGCTTACTGTTCTTCCTTCGTCACCAATACAATGTAAGAGAATTGCTATTTTTTCTTCTTCTTTTAGTTTAATCGCACCTGATCCTATCATGTAAAGGTTGAACACACTTTTCCATCTAGTCCAATCCTTTCCCGATGATAGATCCTTTGGCTGCCGTAATTGATTCATGATGATGAGGAAATTGAACTATTATATTATCCTTTTCGACTGCGCCATGTTATATTTAATATTTGTCAAGAACTAATTAGAATAATTTAATTAAACATTTTCTTCTTTATTATAATGCTGCATGTGGTTTACATACAATCTTAATGATAATAATAATTATGTTTTGTAGTTACATGCATTAGATTAATACATAATGTCACTGATAATATATACAGTGTTCCCATAACAATATACAGAACTTAAAATATTGTGATTTATGAAAAATAAAATTATACGGAACGCGGTAAGTTTTTTTTCACATTTAATACTATTTTACATTTACGTTAAGACTTAAATTAAATATTTATTGCCACCGACACTCTGGGTTAACTGGGTGACGTAGAAGCGTTTAAAAAGTTTAATCCTAAAGTGCAATGTGTAACGAGAGACCGAACAGTCCAAAGGCCGTCTTCGTTTCACCACGCCACGTTTAATACGTATCTTTTTGCATAATATACTATATACGCGCGCGGGTTCACCTTAGTTTGCGCGAAGTATTAAAACAATAATACATATACCTACCTAATGTTATCAATCTTTATATTTTATACACATTATAAGCCTCATGTATTTTATTAGCATGTATAGTTTATACCCTGGATGGCTAGATATAGAGGTACCTATTAATATTTTGCAATACACTTAAATTAAATTATAGTTGTTATCAAGCCAGTCTTAAAACAAAATTTTTTGGAGGTTTTCAAAACGGATTATGCTTAGAACAATTGCACAGTTGTCGTAGCAGTCAGTTGCTAGATCAACCCATGTGACAAAAAATAGGAATTATTCTTGTTTTTTTAAATAATTTTTTCGAAAATATACGTAATTGTATAGCTCATACAATTAAGAATTTATAGTTAATAGAAATACGGGTGTTTATACTTCATAGATACCTATTTTTTTTATTGAAATCTTGTAAATAATTTAATTAAACAATCGGGTACCCATCACTAGTATCAATTTTAATATATTATGTGTAAAATCACCGGCACAAGGTGCAGACTTCATTATAAAATTAAAAATAAATAAATATAAAATAATTTTAAGTAGAAGCTGGGAAACCATAGTTTATTCTAATTTATAATCCAATAATTAATGTAAACTGGAATGTAACTATTAAATTAAATTAAGAATAATTAAAAAACATTTTGTGAAACAAACAAGATTACTGCTAATATTTAAGTCTTACTTATTATTAATAAGTAAATACCAACAATAGAAATTTTTATAGCTTTTTACTATTAACAATTAGGGTAAATAGTTTTTTATCGACTAAAAAATTAGGACCTTCTACAAAATAATTATTTATATAAAAAAATTTTAACAATTTAATGCAAGGATTCTCATAAATTGATCATACAGCAGTCTTAAAACACTAAAAATACATTTGTACATATTATGCACACCTACCAAATAAAAATTTTACATTTTAGTTCCCTATTATGGTGTAGATACTAATACAAACAATAAATTATTATTCGAAAACACAATTTCGTATAAGTACCTATTATTATTTACTAAATACCTACAACTAAAATAAAAATAAACATTTGATTACATTCTGAATGCCTATAATATAATATTATATATAAAAATTGAATTTTTATTACGAATACTTATCGTTTAGACAACCACGGGGAAAAAAAATTAAAAAAATTGAAGAACACATCATTGTAATATTAATACAGCCATCGATCCGCCCAGAATCCCAAATCTAAAATATATCCGATAAGTTTTAAAATTAAAATATTTAATCATTATTATTAATTTTGTATTCAGCAGTTATAATTATAGACTTGGAATTTTACAGTCTATTTGGTATTATAGTCGGTAGGTACTGTAAATTTGATGCATTTACTGAGTTCTTTTATGTTAACTCTAAAATCCAGTAATCACATTTTTATTTAATGGTTTATAAATTACAATATGCTTTTATAAAAATATGCTTGTACTTCTGCAGATATCTATTCACCATCTTAATCAATAATTAAATTAATATACGAAAATAGTAATTTAAATAATACCTAAATCATATTATTATAATTCAAATTCAAAATTATAAACTGTTTTGGTTTATTGTCGTATCAAATTTCAATGAACAAATTGTTCCTTAACACGGAACTCTTTGTTATAAAAAGTTGCATTACATTATATCCGTGGATTCATCATATTGACGTTACCTAGTATAATATAATATCTAATTTCATTTATATTCTATGGCAAATCTCAATATCGTTGCAGACGACACAGTCGATTAAAAATTCTAAAATTTCAATGAGCAAAGCACACATAAGTAAAAAACTTACTGCGTTCCGTATAATTTTATTTTTTATAAATCAAAATATTTAAAGTTTTATTATATTCTGGAGTGTTTTCTCATCGGCGTCACAGTTCACACACGTCACGGATTCCTCCGAAAGAATCGATAATTAAAGTAAGTTTGTTTTCATATTCTTTTGGGGCTTAATTTCACTTTGATTTTTTCTAAAATGCATGGTAACAAATAAATCATATTTTGCTATGAAAAAATAATAAAACGTAAAATATTTTAAATTTTGCGTGAAATAATTTATCATGATTATAATTTATAACCACAATACCGGCTACTATTTTTAAATTACAACAAAATAACTAAAATCGTTATTCTTTGTTTTAATAAGTAATTTCGTCCAAATTTGAACTTATAATGTGTATACAAATTAACTGTGTTTTTAATAGATTATTTATGAGAATTTTTGTTTTACATTTTCAATCCTTAGCAATAAAAGTTGAACATTTTATACATTTTTAACTACTAAATAGAAATTTGTAAATTATCAATTTGATAAATTTTGTTAAAATTTGAACTTTAATTAGGTAGGTACTTATAAAAAAAACCGCGACTATGGATTTTATTGTTTCTCAACTGCTATTATAATAACTACTTATGAGGAAAATTTTATTACATTTTCATATTATAGGTAAACAAAGAAATTTGTGTATGGATATCTGACAACAAAATATTTTGAAAATTGTCAAGATTATGATACATTTTGTAGAAGTTTGAACTTTAAATGCCTATAAAAAAAAACGTGCTTACGTATTTCTAATATTTTTTAACTGCTATTATAACAACTTACGAGGAACTTTGTATGGTTTTTAAGCTTTTTGACCCAACGAATAACATTTTATTGACATTTATAGAATACAGAACTAAAAACATTTCATAATTCAAATATCTATAAACCACTGAAAAAGAGTCGAAATATTTTGAACATTTTATATTATATAGAAAATTATAGTTTAAACATTTGATGGACATTTTAAATACCAACAGTTAATAGGAGTTGTTGAATAACGACAAAATAAGAAAATCGTTATACGAGAATCATTGTAAAATCAAAACATTCATTGCTCCCGTAGTCAGCTCTTAAATACAAACTAACACATAATAGTTAGGTAGGTAGGTATAATACAAATTAAACATTATACATATAAAATATGATATCCGTAACGCTTAGATAACTCATAACTCATAAGAATATATGAATATTGTTGAACATTTTACTGCAGGCTGCGTGTTATTTCAGAGATGGTATTCGTGAGTCAAGATTTGCCAACTGTGTATAAAATATCATAAGCACAATGAAATGTGTGAACGTTGCAGTGTTTGGAGGACTAAGTTTGATAGCAGATTTTGATTCGGACACGGGGTATGTATTTTCTTATTTTTCAATTATTTGTATTGTAACTATACTGCAGGTATAACACTATTCTGGCTATCAATAAAGTCGTGATAAAAATTAGGAAATTGGTCGGATATGATATTTTTTGGAATGTAATTATTTTGAGTAGGTAATTTGCCCAATTAAATTTAAATATTTTCACCGATAATCAAGTACGATGATATGACTTGTAGGTAACTAGAGATTGAGTGAATAGAAAGTGTGTGGTATGGCGAAAGATGAAAAATAAATGTAAGGTTAGGGTAAGTAAGTGGAGTGAGAGTAGCAGATATGAGAATGTTAAGTTTTCGGAAATTGTATAATTGTGTACTTGTGTGAGAAGGGGTAAGAAGAAGTGTGAAGGTAGAATAGTTAGGCTAACAATGTCAAATACGTAGGTAAGGAATTCAGTATACCTAAGTGAATACATTTCAGTCAATTTCATATTACAGAGTATAGTTCAGTAATAACGAAATTATTAAAATACATTTCTCGTAGGTACCTACCTACAAAATGTATTGCGACTTTCTTATAACAACATAATGTCACATTGTCTCATACTTTATGTGACTATTTTTAGATTCTGAGCGGATTGATGAATGTATTGATTTTACGATAATGTGTGTGTTTTTAAAAAAAAAAAAAATCTTTTTTCGTCTGTTAATACCTTTTAGGACAGTAAAAGTGCTTAGATTTTGTTCAACCAATGCCGCAACTTGGTACATATTGGTGGGTGTGCTACCAAATATATAGGGACCATGTATACAGAGGCGCAACTATGGGGAATAATTACTATTCTACAATAATATAGAACTAAAAATATTTCATAATTCAAATGTCTATACACCACTGAAAAAGAGTCGAAATATTTTGAACATTTTATATTGTATAGAAAATTATAGTTTAAACATTTGATGGACATTTTAAATACCGACGGTTATTAGTTGTTGAATAACGACAAAATAAGAAAATCGTTATACGAGAATCATTGCAGTAAAATCAAAACATTCATTGCTCCCGTAATAAGCTCTTAAATACAAACTAGGTAACACATAATAAGTTAGGTAGGTATAATATAAATCGTATATAATACTATTATAAATAGTATAACTCATAAGAATATCTGAATATTGTTGAACATTTTACTGCAGGCTGCGTGTTATTTCAGAGATGGTATTCGTCAGTCAAGATTTGCCAACTGTGTATAAAATATCATAAGCAGAATGAAATGTGTGAACGTTGCAGTGTTTGGAGGAC